CGGCATGACGCAAAATATCGTCAACATGTCACTGTCCAGCCAAATGTCCATTCTCAATAACCACATCCGTTCATAGCTTTTATTCACTTTGAAGCGTGTGCTCAGCTCAGTTGCATCGATGAGTGTGAGCTCCCCTGCAGTAGCAGAAACTTTGGCTTCTATGTGCCCGTGCAACTCGTGCTGTTCATCCATGATGTGAAATTTCATTTTGATTAGATGTTGCGTTCACATGCAACGCCACGCTGTTTAAAATGTACACAATGTACTTTCAATCAGTTGTTCCCTTATTTTATGCCGGTAGGAAATATATTTCGACACTTCGTATCCAAACAGGGGGCCCCGGGATGGGTTTGGTTCGACACAAGTTGGCTCAGGCGCCAGAATTCATTTGCAGTGTTGCGTGTCTTATGCCGTGATTTTATGGTCGTTGTTTCGAATGAATCTTGCCAATAATTTCGCCCTCATTTTTATCCTTGGTTTGTAAGCACATTTCCCGTGCTGATTGGTTTCTCTGGAGCTTTGGACTCTTCGTCACTACTACATGTATACTCCCACATTGTGCTGACACACTGTCAGCTGTTGCTTCGACTTTTCAATCGGTTTGCTGTAAAACACGATCTTGTTTCATGTAGTATTCTATCAAGTTAGTTCAATATAACTCAGGGGTATCGAATGAACCTTCTGTACAATCTGTTACGCCTTCACAAATCAACAAGGGTAGATATTTGACTGCTAATAAATAACAAGCCGTATTGAAGTAGCACATGTTATGCTTTGTTTGAAGTATTTTAAGCTGTCCGTGCTCTTGCAATATTCTTATTGTTTGAGGAAAAGTTTAAACTTTAATACGCAAAAGCATGATCTGAGGACATGCCTAAAAGCCGGATTAAACGTAAAAAATGACTGATAATGTATGAGTTTAAGGATCAAAGAACAAAGGCCACATAAAGATCAACATTGAGCATATTGAAATACATCTCCGCTAAAGGCCACTTATATCCTACACCGAAACCATACCTTAGTTCACAATTTTCGCTATCACGTGTCCTTCATGTGCCTGAGGGGCGGTTGGGTAGCCTAGTGGTTAAAGCGTTCGCTCGTCACGCCGAAGACCCGAGTTCGATTCCCGACATGAGTACAATGTGCGAAGCCCATTTCTGGTCTCCCCCGCCGTGATATTGCTGGAATATTGATATAAGCGGCGTAAAGCCATACTCACTCACTCATGTGCCTGAATTTAAACTGATTTCGCCTGATATGTCTTACTAGACACAAGACCCGTGAAGATCCGGGGTAGAATAGGTCTTCAGCAACCCATGCTTGCCGTAAAAGGCGACTATGCTTGTCGTAAGAGGCGACTAACGGGATCGGGTGGTCCGGCTCGCTGACTTGGTTGATGCACGCAATGGGGATCGATGCTCATGATATCAATCACTGGATTATCTGGACCAGACTCGATTATTTACAGACCGCCGTCATATAGCTTGAATATTGTGCGGCGTTAAACAAACCAGCCAACTACTGTAACACAAAGCAAACTTATTGGTGCTAATAAACACTTTGAATCCGATTAGAAACTGAAATGCGGATAAGATGGTAACAGCCTGTGGCCTGGCTGATTGTTTGGTATTTTGCCAAGATGGTTGTCTATATTATCAATCATAGGTATGTCTTGAAGTAGCTATAAAATTTATGACAGTGGTATTAACTATTATCTACTCAGTGCACCATTCAATATTACAAAAGGACCACAATGAATGAAGAAACGTCATATTACCTTAATTAAATGAACAAACGTCATATTACCTTAATTAAACCTGTATAATTACCGACCCGTAAAGAATCCGGGGTAGAATATGTCTTCAGCAACCCATGCTTGCCGTAAAAGGCGACTATGCTTGTCGTAAAAGGCGACTAACGGGATCGGGTGGTCAGGCTCGCTGACTTGGTTGATACATGTCATCGGTCGCAATTGCGTGGAGCGATGCTCATGATATTAATCACTGGATTGTCTCGCCCAGACGCAATTATTTACAGACCGCCGGCGTTAAACAACAAACCAAACAAAAAAATATAATTACCGTAAAAGTAAGATTGATGATGTTCCTGTTACGGGACTGAAGTCATGATATTGAAAATGAGGTCAAGTTCATCGTTTTCTTGCTGAGTTTTAAAACACCCAAAGGCACCTTGACACCAAACAGGTCGTGGACACCTGGAGCTAAATCATTTCCACTTAAAATGTGCATTGTACTTATTTCTACATGTATATGCCACTAAAATATACATTTCCTCTTCAAAATACAAAGCCAAAACGGATATTTTGGGGTACAAAAGCAAAATTAGCGGACCAAGAGGTGCAACATGAAGAGGTTTAAATTGTTATATTGTCATTGACAAATTTTCCCGATCAAAATGATCACAAGGACATGCAATCAATTAGTCGGGAGACACGTATGATTCGGAAAAACGCACCCAGTGCATTAACAAAAGGGCCATGGAGCTGTGCCTGGCATCTGCGTCAATCGAACAGTGACAGTTCAACAACATGCCAAGATTAACAGAAGTGCAAAGAAACAACGTGATAGGCCGCTCTGCAGGCAGGGGAATCCCGATCAGCTGTAGCCAGGGTTTTCAATGTAGCGCCCATCACAAGACTATGGGATCGGTTTCAACAGAATTGGTCAACACGTGATCGGCCAAAGTCGGGACGACCAAGACAAACCCTACCCGCCCAAGATCGCTACATCGGACTGCGCCACCTACGTGAAAGTACGACCACAGCCACCTCAACCGCATCCCAAATACACGGACTGTTCGGAATCTCCGACCAGGCCGTACGAAACAGTTTAAGAGCAGCAGGTGTACGAGAAAGACGTTCTGTTCGACGCGTCATATTAAGTCGACAACATCGTCAACAACGACTGCATTGGTGTCGTCAACACAGGGTATGGCCTCAACTGCGATGGGGAGATAACCGATACCGATAACTGAGATGACTACAATCACCAAGTGTTTCTCTCCACAACATTTTGGCTCAATACCTTGTACGGTTCCCCGTATAAATGTATTTTTTCTATCTTACAGAAATTTGGCTTTGCGTGTTTTTTTAAGAGTATACGTCACGGTGCTCTTGGTACAGTTCAATGCCTTACACATATGACCACTATCATTGTAAACCACTATATCATATCGAGAGTTAAAGTAATGATTGGAAAAAAATCAAGAAAACGATCGACTTCATTCAGGATCAGAGAGCAGTCCTCCTTCAACCCTTTCCAGGTTCAGATTCATTATGCATGTGGACAGCTATGTGAAAATGTCATTGGAAACTTTATGAACAAAGAAGAAGGATACGGGTGTACTAAAGAATTGGAATCACATAATTAACATAAATATCAACTAGAAGAGTTACAAATCCTGGAGCAGCACCAATTCCCACCTTAAGCTTTCTCTGTCCCAAAAATATCTTTCTTGAAACATGTATAATGTGACAGTTGACTTCCTACATGCTCAATGCAGTACAACGTTGAAACAAATGACCCTATGCCTCTAGCTTCCATAATCCAAATATTATACATGCAAGTACATCGATTTTGATAACATCACTGCCGGTTTGAGAACACACATTTCCAGTCCAGTAGAACTTTGATAATATAAAAGCCTATTTCTATAACTTTCTTAATAACAAAGCTATAAATACTTCAAGTATAGTACACCACTATTGGTTTGGGAAAATATACCCTCTGCAATACGCCTTCGGGACAGAAAGTACTCTACCTCTAGCTACCTTAATAACAAAGTTAAAAGCACGTCCAATATAAAAAAAAAAACACTTCCGGTCGGGGAACACACGTGCCAGTTTTGATCGTTTGAGACAGATGATTGGACATATTCCAGAAGGCTGTCTATACAAATATAAGAGTGATAAGAGGGCGAAATAACAAATGCCAATTAACAAAGTCTCGATTGATATTTCCCATATTAATCCGTAATGATGTCTATCATTGGGATTGGCGTCTGATTCAAATTATCAGACCGACACAATCGATAATTCCACGTGTTTGCGGGTTCTTCAAATGCAGTTTGAGCTCACCACACCAGGAATTGACCAATGTCACCACTTGAAAGATGCTCTGCAAAGCGTGCAGTTACACTTTTTTCAAAATGTTTACATCACCAAACGTTCTTTGTTTCACATTTCTGGAGGATGGTACCTTGTTCTGAAACGATTTGGCCTAGATTATTGAAAGGTTAATGTGACCATTTAGTTGATTGAGCAGACCCATGCATTTTAACCGTCAGCCACCGTCGCCACCGTGCCGTTTGTGTCATATAACTTTCTTATTGTGGTAGTTAAAGGCATGCGACTTTTAAAGTTCCATGACATGTGGCCTGTGGTTTGCCCAACTGGACGTGATACCATTCAACCGGACCCCTGGAGATCCGTGTTCTTCTGCAACCCAGCTTGTAAGGGACGAACGGGATCGGATGGTCGTTGGCTTGAATGATGTATGTCATCGTTTCCCAGTTGCGTAGATCGATGCTCTTGATGTCAATCACTCTAGACTGAATTATTTATAATATATAGCTGAATATGAGTGCTACGTTTAACAACAAACAAACAAACAAACATCCGGTGTCGGTAGCATGACTGTCAACGATCCAGGTGATTGTTACCGTCACTTGAAAGGTGGTTGTATCATTACTGTTACATCCACTGTTCTGGGTTAGGAAACATTGCTGACGATTTTATTACTTATTTCATTTTGTCAGTTAATCATCTATATTTATCCACATAATATTTGACATTTCTAATAAACTACATATATATATATATACACATGACTACATAACTAGATTCCATGAGGGCCCCATGTTGGAATTCGTTCCAAGTACTCTATCCTTGGCATATGAATGAAATTACATGTTTGCAGTGGTCATATTTAGATTGTCGCTTACATATAAAAGTTGGTAGAACATGAAGACTTGACACTTTTTGGGTAAGAATGCTTTATTATATTTAATAACCTTTTCAGTGTGATGTCTTGCTTTTTAGGAGGTGAGCACTTGCTTGAAAAGGTGATGTGGACATGTGTGAACTAAACTTGACCATTCGATTCATGAGGAAGGAATCTGTTGGGGAAAGCAAACGAAGTAATGACAATGTCAACATTTTTCAACCGTTCATCAATTTCCGGCATATACCTTGAAAACATAGGACTCTGTACTGATAAAAGAATAAACCTCGAACTCACCTTTTTTCACCAACCTGCGCATAGACCCAGGTGTACAGTTTTTTATACTCCTTTTTCAGTAAGTCATAGCGGAGTGAATTTAATCCATCAGTTTCCATATCTTTGGATACCTGCCGTAAGAGTTTGAATCTGAAAAGGATCAAGTATACGTTACAAAAGAGAGAAAATGTCAACTTCCTTAATATGAGGAACACGACGTTTCGGAGTATATGCTTACTCCTTCATCAGGTGGATCACTTCTAATTGCCAGCCGACGACTTTATGCGTAACATGTACGTGAAGTAAAAATATACGTTATTTGTACTTGAATATGTGGATATTTTGACCTCCCATATGTTGCGAACCAGAAGGAATTGAACTGTTTGACAAGTATTTTAAGTAATTGGCAAGTAACAGTATGGATGACAACTTCTTTATTCTATTATGATGTGACTTTTTCGGTATAGATCCTTACGCCGGCGTTTTGCTTGGCAAATTATCATCCATTGTAACTATTGTGAATTTTAGTATTTGATGTCTTTGGTATTTGTCCAATTGCATGTGTCCCTAAGTTTCACATTCACCCAGAATACTTGTGGTAAGGACGAGAACAGTGAATGTCTCATGATAAAGGGGTTAACCTTCTGCACTTTGGTTCTTTTGTTAAACTGTTTAACACGTGTATTCCATATAACTATGCCGTGAATTAACTTACGGCTTATTATGTGAGTTATTGAGTTATGTTGATTTAGGCTGTATTGCATCGAGACTGTACCAGACATATCAGGGTACAGTGGCACATAACCTCATGCAAATGTTGATGCATTTCATCTTTAATTTTGTGTCAGGGACTTTGCTTCTCGCCATGTGCTTCTTTAGAAGCAGGTCGTCACTTTGACCTTAAAAATACGGATGCTACAGTGTATGTGTACTCTATATTTGGTTATATGAAAGAAGCAGCAAGATCCAAGCACTATTTTTCAATACCAGTGTATCATTTATACCAGAGATATTTATTTTACTTAACACAAACATATTTATCCTTTTGAAAACATTCAAATGATTTCCTGATGTCTAAAAAAGGGATACGGACAGCTTAAGTGGGTATGTTTAAAGACCTTTTCAAGTTTTTTTGTTTCCAATTTAAGACAAAAATGTTTCTGACTGAAATTCTGCAAAATATATTAGCTTCGCTTTGTGTCATTGCGAATCCGGATCTTGCAAATTTAAGCTAAGAACTCCATGGGGACCCGGGGTAGAATGTGTCCCCAATACACCATTGCTTGTCGTAAAAGTCGACAAAATTGGGCAACCCGTTTGCCGTGGTTTGCGCCCCTATGTCGGTGAAGGAAGTGATTCTGGTGACCATATGTCATCTTCGACTGAACTGCAGTGAATTTTAGTTTCAGTCCTATGTACAAAGGATTAAATGTGTGCAAAGGATCAGCTATACCGATGCCCGGAAACAAGCCAACTTAGTTACAGCTGCAAACACAACAGGAAATTGTTATGCTTCCGTAGTTAAAACAATTAAAACGGTTCAAACAGCATCAGTTCTCTGTCAGACAGATATGTCATTGACAGTGGGAGACATGCCAAAGCACGTGTCTGAAATTGAAATTAACCAACCTGAAACAAACCATGTTACAGCTTTAACATCAATCCCTGTCAACCTCAACATCAACAGAAACAACCCCAAAAGCTATAGCAATAACAATTGTTGAATGACCTAATTATAAAAAGAATTAAAACTGACTGAGTGCCAAAGGCACTCAAAGATCCTGTGCTACTCTACAACAGGTATGGATTGTTCGAGAATATGGATACGGAAGTATCCCGTCACGTGAGCACTGGTGGTCATACAAGTGATCACTCTTCCAAAATGAAAGTCAGGAGTCGATCCCCTGTTACTCCACATTCATGAGTAACACAAATGATTAATTCAGTGGAATTGCAGAGGTCTCAGGACCATGTTTTATTACTACAAGATTATAAAACCGTCAGCAATCTGTCTCCAAGAGACGTATCTTAACATTTAAGCATATTTATTCATTTTCTCTTCCGGGTGATAAAGTGACTGGAAGCTCTACTATTTTAGTCAGGCAGGACATCATTCATAGTCCTGAGTACGATTAGAATCTTTTGTAAAAAAATTTATTGTCAACAAATAACATGTAGTGTCAATATTTTTCGATCTTGAGAAATCCTAAAGGCAATAGTTTGTCTGTCCCATTATTTCGTCTAAAAGTCAATAGTCTTTCAAAGGTTTTAAGTGATTCGGTAGATGCTTAACTTCTCGTGGAGGATTTTAATATGCATACCATTGAAAGTCAATTACAAATCTGCCTTAATACAATTCACAAGTGGTCCCTTGAACATAGTAGTTTCAATTTGAAATACGTCACTACATTATGTTCCAATCAGTCAAATCCAGCTCTTGGTTGCGTACTTAATCCACTTTACGTTGATTTTGCAATAAGGAATCAATTTCTACTTCTAATATTAACGTTCAAAATAGATCGCATCCAACTTTTGTTATCACCTCATTGGCAAATGGTGAGGCCAAGCGTAGACCTGACATTAAGTAAAGAAATCAGACAAAATGTTTTTAATGGTCTTGCTACTGGCCAATATGACATCGTCTTTTGTTTGTTACACAGCCATGTTGAAATCATTGGTAACACAATGGCCGATGCCGAGGCAAAGGCAGCGCTCAGCAAGTATGTGACCCATTCTTCTTATCCCTTACAGTGATTATAAACCCATGATTAGATCTTTCATCCGTGATCAAATGCAAAAAAAGTGGGACTCCAAAGTAATTATCAATAAGTTAATGAAATAAATAGAGGTTATCACGCGAGTGTGTTTGGGGATGGTAAATATCCTGTATTAGGAATAAACATTGTATTTAGCGAGCCTTGGCGAAATTGTTTCGAAATTTATATCTCCAAAGTTGCCAAAACTTACAAAATGCCTTAGCGACGTCACAGTTAGACACTGATTTTAAGTATAATAGACTGTTCTTTTACTTATGATAGCAATTATCTCTGTAGTTTATCCAGATTCCCGATGGTTAATTGTTAATTGACTCGATTGCCGAATGACAAGGGCGACGCCATATTTGTTAATAAACACAAAAAGTAGTCCCATCTTGACCTTTGATATTTGCATCTCTATCCGCATATGACCCCAACGGATATCGTTTTTATCCGTTGGCTTTATCCTGCCGAGAAACCTACCAATTATATGATAAAGCAAACTATCGGTTACACCTACTTGGGTTGTTAGTCCAGATTTGAAGAGGTCATTATGCTACGATGTCGTATTGGCCACAGCAGATATACACGTGAGTATTTATTGAATGGCGAGGATCCTCCGCTTTTTGCCCTTTGTAATGAAAGACTCGCGGTCAAGCCTGTCCATCTTGACTGTATTGATTTTCCATCACAAGGGATCAATATTTCAGTGTAAAAACAGTGGGGGCCCAGTCGTCTAAGGCGCCGCGATTCGCTGTGCAGAGTTGCGTCCCTTGGGCACGCCAGAAACCTATGATTGTGGGTTCGAATCCCGGTTCGCCCGATTATGTTTCTAGGTTTGGCAGCACCATACCCGTGCTCGTGGGTTTCACCGAAGTGATAAACGTCTGAGACTTCGGGCTTTGCTCCCACATTAAGCTGACGCGCCGCGATAAAACTGGAATACTGTTAAAAGCAGCGTTAAACCCAACTCACTCACTCACTCAACTTGTTTTAAAATCGAAACTGTGCAAATCTAGTTATCATACTGCCCATCGATGACAGGTTTTCATTCAATCTAAATATATTCATTATAAAATGTTTAAGTTCCTGTCACGATATGGCGGAAATACTGCCGATTTGACGTTACATTTTAACTCACTCACTCACTCTAACAGCTTATCCCTTCAGCTACAACGTACCTGTCCTTGTTTACTGGATTTGTTTTGTCTCGACTGTGTTTTATCGTCCTGTATCGAGCAAATTTTTTTGATGCTCGAGTTATTTTTAAACCACTGTGTTTAAGTCTGAAAATAGAAATACATAGTTTACTATAAGTTCTTTCTGGACGGTTAATGCGACTGGACATGAGATTGTAACTTCATTCCTTTACGATCCTTTCACAGCAACAAATGCCTATCATAATAGTTATATTTATCCACATGTTTTACATAGCTTTTTTTCATAATGGTGGGGAATGTAACGTTTTACCCAAGAGCTAACAGAAAATGCACCGAAAGTGGCAATTTGTCTATCTGTCATTTCACTAAGACCAATTGCTGGACCTTTGAAGATCCGGGGTAGAATAGTTCTTCAGCAATCTATGCTTTCCGTAAAAGGCGATTATGCTTGTCGTAAGAGGCGACTAACGGGATCGGGTGGTCAGACGCGCTGACTTGGTTGATGCATGTCATCGTATCCTAATGGCGTGGATTGATGCTCAAGACTCGATTATTTACAGACCGACGTCATATAGCTACAATATTTTACTGAGTGCGGCGTTAAACAACAAACAAACAAACCAATTGCTGAGCACAATGTCCACTCATAATTGAAACTGTAATCCTAGCTGTATCCGCTCTAGGTCAACGAAGGTTTCCACAAGACTGTGAGTTTATTTGGTGAGTAGGTATGGCCGAGATATTGCCTATGCGACGATTGAACTCACGTTCAGGAAGTGCATTTGAAAAACAAGTTACGAAAGCTTGCTTGAATGTGCCGCAAATGATTTACATTAAAGCAAGACATTCTGATCATTCGCCTTTTCGGCAAAAAAGCAGTAAATGTTTAGTGCCTTGTTAGCAGTCATTCAGTCAGCGATACTGTCTTTCAAATAGGGACAGTGGAGCGAAATATATACGTCAACGGCAGAGATCAACCATTCTCGATTATCCGTCGAAACAGAATCCATTGGGCGTAAGGGACAGAATAGCGGTGAAGTATATGAATAGATCACTGAAAACGAGCCATGACACCAGGCTTTAGCAACCTTTCTCGCTGCGACTTGGAATGAAGACTGTTATCCGGGTGTCAAATATGCAGAAACCACAATCCTAAATACATTGTATCCTTGGAGCAGTAGTAGACTACCTTTGTCCAGTCTTCTCGGAGATACAGTACTTCGTAACAATGTCCCAGGACTAATAATCCTGAGGAATCAATGTCAGTTTCTGCACTTTGTTCAGGAATAAATGACCGCGCCAAACAAAACTAACACTCTCAGGTGTATCATATGCATTGAGGTGTGTCAGCCCAAGAACTACCTTTGGGGAAATTACATACTATAATAGATGGCAGTTCTACAGTTCATGCTGTGATTCTGATTGGACTATTCTAATGAGCTAACAGTGAGGGTCTGAGAAGTATTCAGATCAAACCACGTTCTTACCTTCTGAACATGTCATCATCTTCCATACCCCAGCCATAGTATCTATTTGAGAAGCCATTGACTGTGTTCATGTGTTCTTTGGTCAGTGCGATCACCCCGCCAAATGCGCCCTGATAGAAAAGTCTGTGTGATAGATAATTGGTTGTTACATTGATGAATAGAATTAAATGAAGATTAAAACTATGGGTCTTTTCACTTCGTATGAACACTTTCTTGATAAGTGTTTTCTTCTCAATTCCAAATTTGAAAAACTTGTCATTCGTTCTCCAATAGGAAATCCACGTAGGTTTACGCGTAACGCACTTGTTACACGCAAAGCTGCCTCTTACGTATAAGCTAGTAATTGTATGCACAAAGGTAGTTGTTTAATTAACGCATAAACGTAGTTGCCTAACGCGTAAAGGTAGTTGTTTTACGCGTAAATCCAAATTCATCACACGTTAATGGTTCAAACAATAAATACTCAATGTTTTATGACGCTTATTACACATTTCGTGGAATTTTCATGTCTTTAGACTTGAATATGACCATTGGCATTTAAACTGTGTGCATGACGGGAGTGGGAATAACATACATTGCATCCCTATTGGTCTCATTTTTTGTACAGAGTACAATATTTTACGATGCTGCAATCTGTCTTGTAAAACTAAATCAACAGCATTAGGATCAAACTTTTATACATAACGAATTACATGTACGTTACCAAAGGCCTACTTATGTTAATTCAACTACAGATAATTGTGTACACCATCTATATAGTGTGTGTAAGGGGATTATCTGATAAGGAGGCGTGTGATTGTGACAACATTGGCAATAATGTTAACAAGGGAGAGATTATATAGATTCATATCTTTGTGAAGAACAATTGGGCTATCACGACAAATGTGACTTATTTGACGATTTTACAAGAAGTAAAACTCGAGGTAAATAAAAGAAAATACTAACTTATACTGATGCTTATCAATGGCAACTGCCACATGACGTGGGTTCTTTGGACAGGTGTACAGGTTCTTGTCATTCTCTGGGATGTGATCCACATCGTGGAAGAAAAAGCACTGGTAGTCGTATTCCTTCATTGCTTCTGTGTAGCCTATGTTATATAACATAGCTTTGTTGAAAATGCCCGGCAAAGCCTGTAATACGTATGTCCACAATTTGAAACACCATCAATCAAAATGTTTTATTTCTCTTAAATAAAAGCGACAAAACCCTTCGTTTCCATTATCATATGAAATATCTACTGAAAGCAGAGTCCGTTGTACGATTCAAACTATATCATGGGCATGTGTTTATGAATCACTATCAAATAGTAGTGATATCAGGTGATCGCGACATCCTTTTGGTCACTGATTCGTCATATTTAAAAATGTCGTTCACATTTCTACCATAAAACTTGTGCTGTAAGCCTGATCAAATAATTTTAAGCAAGAGTCTTATGACGCTCTTTAAAATCGTTGTGGAAAGTTATGAAATCTTGACACCATAGACTGTAGCTGCTGGCATATGGCCCGACATAAAGGAAAAGTAGACATTTGGAAGGCGGTTTCATTGGTAGCCTTCATTTCTAGCTCAGGTTGGCTAACTTAAAGTCATATTATTTTGCCAATCAATGCCGAAATTCCGATTCATCTGTATAAAGAAGCATTTTAGGGGGGAGCACAATTGATACCCATGGGGATGCCTACTTCTTGCCTAAATGTCTTATCTGAAAAGAAATCTCTAGGTTCTTGGTTCGTTTCTGAGATTGCAAATATTCAAGCAAATATTTTAAGCCTTCGAGAAACCACACGCTATTAATTTTACTTGTCTGAAATACTTTCTCAGACTATAAACAAAGGCCTTTCCTTATTGTATTACGAACTATTGTTGATCTTTGAGACAGGGATTTATTGATGTATTTACTGGAACCATCAATATATATCTCTTTGTACGTAAGGAGCTTTGGAATCTCATACAAAAGTGGTATGGACATGTCTTTAGGTTTTAGAATGAAGCCCAGAAGATGATAGTACTGATGCGTGCCTTTGGCAGATTTCCTCCTCAGTCAACATACTGGTCTTATTAGTGGCTTTGTTTGTTCTGTAACTTATACCATGTTCTTTGATCAAACAATTAATGTACGTGTAAAAACCCGTACACATCTACTTGATTCGCGAATATCAATAACCAAATGTTAAAGTTATAGGCATGTTTCTATACTAATTTCGGCAGTTCCACCCACTGTGAACGTGTGAGGCAAAGGCCCAGTGTGGATCAACTGTTAAAAAGACTTGACATACAAGATTTACCTGTTCCACAACGTAGATGCCATAGTCTAGTTGCTGCCGTTGCAACATGGGGTGGAGGTTGTTGAGGAGGACCTTCAGGTGGGACTCTCGGTCGCGATAGGCAACAATGATGGCCACTCGGTGACGGGACTTACAATCGGGAGGTGTGAACCGACCACCGGGTTTGAGTTCTGCAAATCGCCTTTCAAGTTCCTCAAAAGGGAGAGCTTCCATACGTGCGGTAATATTTCCCACTGAAACATAGATAAGCATGAAACAATCCCGATTCCAAAAGCAGGCGGTGAATGGTTAAACATTAAGACTGACTGGAGTCAATGAATTGAGTTACCGTCCTATTGACCAATATTTCAGATATGGTATATAAGCTAAATGTTGGAAGAAGCCGTAGCAATGACATGGTGCTGACAAACCAATGGTCATAATCGGGGCGAATCTGTGAAGCATGACCAGTGGACATGTCATGACGCACCTCTGCACAACTACTTATGCAGTATTGCAGGCAGTGGCATATGATTCCCCATATGTGTACAGTGTGTTAAATGCATTTCTAGTGTCCCACTGCCGCTCTACGTCTGCATTATTGGCAAAAGCTTCGCAAAACTCTACTTATGCAATATTCATTTGTTTATTGTACAATTATGTTTATTGCTTTCGAAAGAGACAAATCCATCTCACCTCGATAAATTAGGTTTAAGGCGATCATTGTCCACGAGGAGGCCTCTTCAATCACTAAACCTACTTAAATTATTGCCACATATGCTGCCTTCTCTGCGACCGCATTTCATGATCATATATTCCACTGTTCTATGATCAACCATGCTACACATCGTTATCAGTACCAACGTGAGAAAGAGATAAGTTTATTTTGCCCTGACTATGTGTCCACTTACCTAAGTTTGGTGGCACCTGAGGACACAGATTCGGAACCGTGTCATCGCCATTGAAAGAGTCTGGCAACGTTTTCATACTTGATGCACCTTTCGAAATATTACTCCACTGACTTAGCAAAGACTTGCTCGAGTGAAGAGAATAAGTAGACACACTACGTGCACTATTACTGCCAACTGCCAATCCCAAATGTTTGCATTCGAAGTAAATGACTAACAAAGCCAGACAAACACAGATCCGAAGTGAAGCCTTGTGAGGGATCATGATGCTGAAGATGGTGAACATGATACTTCAGGCCCGAATGTTGATATCAATCCAGAGTTGTCTGGAAGCAATAAAGCATTTATTCGTATCCAACTTTGTACAACGTTTCTGTTTCAAATAAACTTCAGCCTGGACTCTTGTCTACACAAAAGGGTTACAATGAATGTAATTAATCATAACTGTCTTAGTTTGTTTTCATTTTCACATTTGTGCCACCCTTTTGTGAACACCTGGTAGCATCTCTATTTGATGAGCATTCATAAGCACCAGCTTTTAGCGGGCACAGTTTTTAGCTGTATTAATAACAGAGAGAGACTGACTGCTTGCTCGTAATATGTCATATGACAAAATCAGAAATATTTCATCAATGCCACAGTATTCTTGACCAGGCACACCAGTGTTTCATACCAGAAGCATTCATTTTGTTCCTCTGAGAAACTTACTCTAACCTCAGAAGCATGTAGTTGTATTCTTGTTGTTTTTTTTAAATAATACTTTTAATTTTATTATTATGTTCATTACAGCTAAAGATAATTGTAATTGCTTTTGAAATATAGAAAATCATACTGGAAGGGGTGTAGTAAATGGGTCATTAAAGCGTTATACACACTTAGTAGTAAAGCCTGGATCATGGTTACAAAGTGTGAAAGATTTTATATATTAGGTGATACTGTATAGATTTAGGCACGATTTGACAAAGGTAATACAACATTAATTATCTTTATACCGCAACAGTTGTACAGTAATTGACTGCCTGGTTGAATGGTCTTTGGTGTAAAGGATGTGCAAGCACATTAATGTGCTAAAAATGAATAACATTTTGAATTAAAACTCGGACTATGTCACACATAAGCTAATATGGAGGAACAAATCCATACCTGCTTCAATCCATGTAATCCATCTTGTGTCATATATTATATCAATACTAAATGGATCGGGATCAAGCTAAGCAAACAAGTATGGGACGTATGTCATATAGATGTCCAGTGCTCTAATGCCTTTAAAGTCGTAGGTTTTATGAAATTAATAACACCATATGTTCTAAAACGTATGTGTAAATCAGGTAAATCAGACATACATACCATACTTGTTGGCTTGGCTTGTTTAACGCAGCTGTGTAAAAAGGATTTTTGACACCTCAGCAAAACGGCACCAAATGGCGAAAACAGAACTTAGTGCCTTGTGTGAAAGACAAAAATGCCCTTGACAGAGAACATAACACATCAATTAATATTTTTGAACATGATAGGGCATACGTGTAAAAGCATAGAACCAGTTCATGTTGTTTGTTCTTTCTGTAATTTATGAGATTTCTGTTTTGAAAAAGATGGCATGGCTTTGAAATGATTCTGTATTGAACAGCATTTTTAGCATTTGACATCCACCAGGTCGAGGTTGCAAGCATACTGTTTGCACGAAAATCACATATTGTATTGACCTTTGAACCCTGATCTTCGGAAGTTATTGGTCTCTGGGTGCATGCTTCAACGCATGACCCTTACTGATCAGGATAAGGATACAAACAAATATTTGATAAAAATAACAACACAATCATACGAAAATAATTCGGCCAGTTTTTAAATAATTACTTACCGTTCACTCCTACTGTAAATGGTTAACATCGGGTTTGGTGATAATTTAAAATGACATAAGGGTCATTCTATTTACGATGTATTCACACTTTGTTGGACACTCTGGCTCTACATCAAGGTATCCCGACACCGTTTGCCCTGACTATCCACTACACAAGTGCAGCGTACAGCAATATGACTTCATACCCGATAGAATTACAGTCGCTTGGTTAGATTAATTAATACTAGATCAATGACTTTACAATTCTGCATCTACGGTATTAAAAGCAAGGAAATATGAGATACAATGGCTGATTTAATTGAAAATGTGTATCAAATATTACCATACATTTACATCAACCACAAAATATCGACAATGTTCAAAACTGGTGAGTGTTTATTTCCAGTGCTAAGAAAAAAAAAAGACGACAGAGTTTTTCCGCGTACACTTCAATAAGTGAGTTGGATTAAAGGCCTCTTTGAACAGTAATTCAATTATATCACGGCGTGTCAGCCGAATGAGGGAGAAAGGGAAGTGATGCAGTTCTCGCACGTTTACCCCTTTGTTGAAACCCAGGTCATAGGTATTCTGCTGGAAACCTTTAAACATAATCGGGGCGAACCGGAATTCGAACCCACGATCATAAATATGTGACGTGCCCAAGGGATATAGTCTTCAGAATACCAGCATCAAATCGGACACCAGGCACTGTGATTTTAACTCACACTAATGAACGCGACAGTAAAGTATTACGTGGGAATATGCAGCGCACCAGGAAACACTTGTGCGAACATTCAGGTTGGTATATTCATGTATATGTATACAGTTCGTATTCAAAGAGGGGGCCTGGTTGGCTTACTTCACACATTTATACAGGTAAGAAAAAGACGAAAAATAGCTCACACTTTCAACGATGGCATAAGAATAAAAAGAAACTCATTTTGCAACAACTTTTAGACTTTCTGAAAGACAACATAAAAATCCATTATTTTGTATAATTTTGTAATATTGTGTGAAGAAATAAGAACGTTGTGACACTTTTATATACTGTGTGAATGTAAACGTTTTCAGAATTCGAAATGTCTACTTTGAAGGAGATCAAGGGTAGCATAGATTGCTACCTTAGCGACATGACTGCCAACACTTTGCTGAACTCGGAGAGGTTTAGAAATCAAAACAAAAATAATTTAATTACAAGGAAAAGAAAACTTACCCCAGTGAGCTGATCATGTGTCCGATATTGAACTAAATGAACTTCGTGAATGCGGACACCTTTTCACCTAGTCTCCAGATACCGTGTTCGTCTATCAACAGCTATTCGACATCAAAACATAGACTAACTCCCGTCATCTACTCGGCTTTGTTCACTCCACAAGCGTGTTTGACAAGTCTTCCTAAAATCCCACATGCACATGTTTCAAATCAGTCACACATGTCTCAAATCACACACGATGCTCATTAAACTTGTTGTCTGGATTAAACTGTAACGCCGGTTCTCTTGTCATTCCGGGTTTTGGCTGTCTCATATCTGGGTCAAGTCGGGTCATTCATTCCGACGCTCTGACAGCAATCCTACTATTCAAAATGTATCTACTTTTCGTAACTTATCTCTAACAGACAAGACTTCTGTACATTCCGTCTATGTTGTTGTTATAGGTTTTGGGATATTTTTCAAATGACACATAAAAAATTGACATGTCTTCCGTGTTTCCTCTTCTCAATGTGAAATGCACGTCTCTGCCGATGCACGACGGCGGCTGTCTGTCAGTGACGAGATCTTGTCAAAACAAGCCTTGATTTAAAAAAACCTGATGAACCTTTTTGGAAACTTGTCTTCTTTATCAATGCTAAATAGTGTACGCTGTGTGAATGAGACTGAAATATAACTGCAATAATGTGATCTTTTAGTTTTTCAACATAACTATATTTATCACGCGTAACAACACGTAAAGTGAGTAATGCGATTGGAGTGAGTTGACAGTGTTTTTTCACACGCGGATTGGTACAAAACAGCTGATTCTTGATCGGCGACAGTTTAATTCCCTTGAAACGTCTTTAATATGATTATGGGTAATAAATAGAATAACCCACTCGGTACAAGTGATTACGGAAAATATATCACTCGTGAAAAGCTCGGAACTAAAAACATTAATTTCGCTCGTGACATATTTTCCGAAATCACTCGTACCTCATGGTCTGTAATAAGTTCAACAGAATGGCGTAGAATATTGCTGCTTTCATCAAAGAAAAAGCTGATCGAGATCAAATATATCGTTTTTTTCCGAAATTGTACAAACTTAAGCGCAGTTGAGCTAACATTTGTTATAATAGACTTGTAAGTAAGTTCCACATTTCGGCTGATAGATCATGGGACATGCGCACTTTGCGAAGGTTGAGGTGCTGGCTAGCTGGTGGGTGGGGGCGGGAGTCAGCCGTGAAATATACATAATCTTGCATTTTGGTAAAATTCCATTTATAAACCAAAGTATAAACAATATATTACATTGCGATATTTGCTGTAATGTGGTTGTGTTTATTCCGTTAATAGGCCACCGACCTATTATACAGGTTAAAGTCATGGCTAAAAGTTGCAATTATATAAGGGACATATTATGAAGATACATGGCGATTAATAGCTGAGTGTTTCCGTGTCACAACTAGCACATATCAATTATGAATAAAATATGTAATATGTTTTATCGAGCATGCTACATTTCGTTCATTCCTGATATAAGAGATTTATCATACGAAGGTAAATAATCGTTTTATCATATAATGTCATTCTTAAATAATCGATGTTTTAGACTAATTCAATGTTTAAGATGTCTTTGAATGAACTGCCCCATTTATCAAATAGTGCCAAATGATGTGCAGCCTTGTTTGTTCACAGAATCGCCCACACATTGGGAAAGACCCATCTGAACGTATTTGGAAAGTTTTTTTAGCAATCAGATATTTCATCGATGTGAACTTGAAAGTTCTTCCTGCTAGGTGACTGGTATCAAACATATGTGCGAGATTGAATTCCAGGCCCGTGATTGGCTACTCCATGGTGATGACCTGAGGTCAGATTATGACGGACTACTTTCCTGATTATAAGTCATTGATAAGTAATGTTGCTCGTGCTTCAGTCGAATGTTCACTTCCGTCTGTGTTGAACATATTGGTTTTTTAGGGTGTAAACCCCCTGGTCGTCCCATCGACATATATGTCGCTCATCTTCAACCCTCACTTCGAAGTCGAATCAAATTCAAAATACACTAATACACTTCACAGTTTTGAATTCGATGGGAAATTCCCTCTTCTGTGATATCTTCCACTGTAGTTTTAGGCAAAGCAAAATTACTGAAAGTTACCTTGGAAACATCGGTACATTGTAAATCTCTCCATTTTGACACATTACTAAATCACCATTCACAGCGTTATTTACTTTGTGTTCAGAAACCTTAATATTGGATCTTTACTCGCAAAATTGAATTTCAAAAATAACTTATTAGTGATCATGGGAATCCGTTATTCATCTAATCACTAATGAAAATTTTGAAATGTCGCCTAGAATCGTTTAGAATGTTTTGGGAAATACGCAAACACAAACACCGAAGTGTACGTTCTGCCATTTTGGATAGTGTTTACAAAATCACGTTTCAGTTGCTGTTTATGAGATGCCTATTATATCACGTATATTTCAAACTCAGCTGCGATGCTTGCTTCCCTGAAATCCTCATACACTTTAGAATCAAATGGCCTTTGTTACCAATACAAATTATCTAGATGAAATATAGGATAGTCTATAGTCTGTCTCTCAACAAATGTTAAGCTATTCAGTACTTTCTAATAAGGAAAACTAACCAGCACCGGGTTCGTTATTCAGTTCATGTCCAAGAAAATATAAAAATAAATGGAATAAAGAATCTGCTTCTGTTTTTATTTATGTACCTATTTACAATAAAGACTTACATTGTGGGAAAACCTTTGCAGAAGTAGCCCTCATTAAATACTGACTGTATTTTAGGACAAATAAACAAATATAGGAAAATTTAATTGTACAATGAGTTTGGCCTCTGCTCGTAGACCCTGTCACTGTGTCGCTTTCTTCAACCACACCACCTATATCCGTTCCCACAGAAAAAAACCCATTTCTGGTCAGTGTCCATCATCACCCACAACAGAACAGAGTCTTACAATGTATCTATGTTTTCATGAATTACGTGACTGGTTAGTTAATGGTGGTGACAGATCACACAGCTGCAGTGAGATGTCTTACTACTCTCCGAATGTTTGGTAATATGACATTAGACTTGTTTAGGTTTGTAACTTTGATCGTTGACTACGACCTGGAATTGATCCTATGATTGTATTCATCATATAGGTGACAAGTTAACCTCACGTTTGTTTGCACAGTTCCGGACAACCACTTGCATAGTGTAGTAAACTTAGATTATAGTTCAGTAGAGTTCAAGACTTCAGTAAACATAAGTGTACATTGTCTGTATAGATACATTGCCATTTAGTATTATACCAGTCAGATGGATCAGTTTTGCATTGTGCCGTATATAACTTTCTGTCCACAGCAAATTTACCTTTGAAATGAACATAACTGCTATCAGGCAAAAGATTTGTACAGAAAATACTGTCTAGGTAACTCACTACATTTAACTGTTATGAAAATTATCATACAAGAGTGTAAGTAGTATTGTAAACCTTTCCTGCAAATAAAGTGAATACAGTTTCATCTATCCCCTTTTAGTTCGTTATTATTCATCCATAAACTGCGGAAAGAATCCGCCTGAAAAGTGTTATTGATAAAAGATGGATGGTGCTGTTTAGATTCCAGCTGCTTGAACATAGATTAGACGACCTCACATTTGTCAATTTGTTGGACATGAACTGAAAACTAAAATGCTGCAATTTAGGTTTTCGTTATTCAAAAGTACTGAAAAACTAAACAGCTTTTGGACGATGTAAGACGAACATGCTGTCATATATTAATTGAGTTTCAGTGTATTTGACCACATTACTGTAGTTTTAATATACAGTCTTTGAATAACGAACCCGGTGCTGGCTTGTTTTTCGTTATTCGAAAAACGAATAACGAATAACGAACCCTCTGGAAATACGGTATCTTATTTTTGTTATACCAAGTCTGAATAACGAACCCGGTG